CCTCCCGGCGACCGATCTCTTTACCAGAGTTCTGGTTTACCAGGCGCAGGTTAGGGCCAGTCCCACCATTTTCCCGGAATTGCAGGAAGTTAGCAGAGTTTCAACACTGCCCCCAAGATTTGGGTCCTCTCCCACAGATAACGAAACTGAGGCCCTGGCAGAGACCGGTTTACCAAGGTCACTCTCCCAGCTTGCTGTTGAGCCCGGAGACTATAGCCAAGGTCTCCTGATGCCTAGACCAGCCTTTTTCGCCTGAGCCTCCTGTGCCTGCCACTTTCTGATTTCTTATGTGAATTGAATTGAAGCCAGGGGCGCTTTCGGGCAAACTTGGGTGCCCTCAAATGAATTTTCCTCCTAAGTTCGAGTCGCCAGCTAGTATAGACGGCTTTGGTTAATCCTGGCATTGTGGCTGTACAAATTTATGCTTGTCGCTGATCTTTAAAAAAAGCCCAAACCTCACGAAACCACTTCTGTAGGGGTTATTAATTTTTTTAGGCATTCAGACGTCGTCCTCTCTACCCCCACCCAGACACGTTTTCGATCCTTTCCGTGTGTGGGCAATCTGTCTCCGAGAGTTTTATGAGTGGTTGAAAAGCCTGTGAAGAGGTCAGTTTCCATTGTATGTAAAAGTAGGTAACCCGATCAAGAACCTGTTGGCAGATTGGTGGTGGTCACATAGAGGGACTTCCAAAAGTTCGTTGGCAAGTGAACCTAAAAGAATGAAGTTAAATTAGGGACTTTTGAAGCCCCCTCCTACTTGTGGATGTTCTTTTTCCCTGTCTCGTTTTTCAGTAGGCTAGTCCCAGACTATGGAGTTCAGTAATTCTTTAAATATAACAAAAAGGCAAAAAAACTACAATTTAGGTCTGTGTTATTGCTCATTTAAAAAAAATTTTGTTATTGCTCATTCTAATGATTAGAATTGAGTTAGAAGAAAAGTTTTTAAGGCCCAAAAGAACTGTCATACATAATAAAAGGTGTTTATGAAATTATAGGAAATAAATAAAGGAGTTACAACTAAGCAGGGTAAAATAAACTAGACCTCGTAATAGAGTTGAAGATGATTTCTCTTTTTTTGTGAAGTTCTTAGATTTAGATGGGCATCATGCTTGAGTCAGTGGGTTTACCAGTCATGGGCTTCCCTGGGCAGGCAGACAAGTGGGAGCCCTGGTCTCAGTGGACCAGATGCTACTGTGTTCGTGGGTTTACCAGTCATGGGCTTCCCTGGGCAGGCAGACAAGTGGGAGCCCTGGTCTCAGTGGACCAGATGCTACTGTGTTCAGGCTGCCCCCAGCTTTTTTCCTGTGGAAATCCTAGGTATTTCAGTTAGGTTATTTGCAGTTACTAGAGCTATATAATTTGTCAAATCTTATTCTGAACCCAAACTAAAATAGGCAAGAAGAGGAAAGGAAACAGTTTCCCAAAAGTGAAAAAGAAAGGAAACAGTTTCCAGAAAGTGTAGCGACTCTGCTGTGGTTCTTTTAAGCTGTGGGGTGAGGTTTCTGTGAGAGGTGCCTTCCTTTACAACTTTCCAAGTAGTAACTTCTGCCCCCTTTGCTCCAGGGGAAGGGAAGGGAAGGCATTTCCTTCTCAAGGTGTCAAAGTGAGTAGGTCCTGTGGCAGTGCGTTTACAGGACTTCAAATGGAATGTTTTTATGTCCATTTCATTCCATGGAACTAATTATTAAATTATGGATTAGATGCTTTATCGATAGCAAGTATGACCCTAGACATACTGACGTTCAATTCATTGCATTATTTTAAGTAGACTAATCCTCCAGGTCACCGTAAGTCTACATATCAAAGCAATGATTTAAAAAAATTATGGTAATCATTCAGATAGTCATTTTGAAGAAAGCACCTTTTCCAGGTTATATTTTCAGTATTGCCAAAGTGGCTTCTCTTGACCATATAAAAAAAGCCTTTAATCTTATCCTCAACGACCAGTGACTTAAAAAAAAAAAAGTTGTTGTAAATCCACAAATTGAGTAACATTATAGCATGTTTACCCAGTCTTGTTGCCCAAGTATGGTAGTAAATAACTGGTGCAAAGTTGACCCAGGTCTTTCCTTTAAGGAAAAAAGCATTTTTATCCCCCCTACCTTTCTTGATACATAGTTTCAATCATTGTGTCTGAAAGGTACAGTCAGAAGTCCTGATAGAAAATTATAATTCTAGGTTCTGGTTTTCATTCCAAGACTACCCATCTGGAAGTGAACATTTCTTACATAAGTCAGAGGATGAGCTTTATGGTTTGACAGTTCTTCCGGACCTCAAAAACTTCTGACGTGATAATTCTGATCAACTAACTCTCCTTATGTGTGAATTAGAAGACAGGAAGGCTCAAATCGTAGATTATCACTAAACTATTAATATCAAGCAGGTTTTTGAGGAACAAATTACTGAATTTATTTGCCATTTTCATATGTACCAGTTTGCTAGTTTTTTAAAGTCTGTTTCCAGCCCAGTTTCTTTAAATCTGCCCGGTATCTCAAGTTTGTTTAGTTTTGTTTTAATTGAGGGGGGTCTGCTGCCGTTTGGGGCAGATTCTTTAAACATTCTTTAATATGTTTGCTTTGACTTGTTTGAAAGTATGGGGCATTACAAATCACAACATTTGCATGGGTTGTTTCCAAACTCAAAACCAACCTCATTGCCATCAAGTTGATGTCTGACTCAAATAAACTCTCCAGACAGAGTAGAACTGCCCTTGTGGGTTTCTGAGACAAACATCTTTACAGGAGTAGAAAACTTTATCTTGGTCCTGCAGAGTGACTGGTGGTTTTGAACTGCTGCCCTTGAGGTTAGCAGCCCAGCAGGTAAATTCACTATACTACTAGGACTGCCCTCGTGGCTGTTTAGAAAGTGAAAAGAATCCTTTAGCTCCCCCAAAGAGATTTTAGAATGACATTGAGAAACTACACTGTGTCTCCTTAGAAAATATGAGATTGGGAAAGTAAATTATTTTTAAGATACTTTGGTATTTTGTCATTCATTACCATGCTTACTACACCAGCTCAACTTTAAAACTGTCCCTGGGTTCTGCCTTCAAGCATGCTGGTAATGGGCAGTCAGACAAGATCTGAATTCTTAGTGTAGGCTTGGGAGGTGTATATTACAGGTCCTTTTAGTGATGTTGGCGGGAGTCCTGCTGGCCCACTTGTTAAATGTTAGGCTGTAACTGCAAGGTCAGCAGTTCAAAACCACTAACCGCTCCATGGGACAAAGATGAGTCTACTCCTGTGAAGAGTTACGGGGCAGGTCTACCCAATCCTGTAGGGTTGCTGAGTCAGCAGTGACTTTACCTTTTTTTTTTTTGCTTTATTATTATTATTTTTATCATTTTATTAGGCGCTCATTCAACTCTTATCACGATCCACACATACATTAATTGTGTAACGCACATTTGTACATTCATTGCCCTCATTCTCAAAACAGACTTGACTTAATTTGTTAGTTTTAGGGCTGCTGCTGTGCTTTTACTATGATTTGATTACACCAAAACCCCAAACATTGCTTCCCAAATTTTGACAAATGTAGTTTTGTGAAAGTAGTTAGCAAAAAACAGCTAGAAGGTGTAGGTTTTGAAGAAAATAACCTTACAACCCTTCTTGAAGAAAATAAGGCCCCATCTAAGATAGGAAAGGCTTATTAGTCCAACAGAGTATCTAGTTGTATTACATTTTTGTTTCACATGGCAGTGTTTTTTCTTTGTAGTAAGATTATTGATCCTGTACTAGCAAAATTATGAGATCATTCATAAGTAGTATTGAAGAATTTGGCTTTCGTTATCATGTGATGGATGTGGATTGATACTTGGTGACCTAAAGTATTAAGGGATAAACTTAATATCCAACGTGTGGGTAATTTACCTGTGGCAGATTTGATATACTAGAGGTTAGAAAAATTGTGTGTGCTTTCCCAAGAGGAAGGAATGTTGGGGAACAAGATTCCTGGAAGATGTGATAGTTGGAAGAAATGGTAGAAAATTCTGAAATCTGTATATCTAGCAAAGCCCCCAAATTAAAAGGACTGTTTATGGCTCAAGATAGAAAAAAGCAAAGACCTAACTCATTGTCATTAAAAAAACAAAGACCAAACTCTCTGCCATCAAATCAATTGCAATTTTAAAAAATTGTTTTATAACGATCTTATAGGGCAGGGCAGAACGGCCCCTGTGGGTTTCTTAGGTTGTAACTCTTTACGAGAATCAAGAGTAGAAAGTCTCATTTTTGTCCTGAGGAGCTGCTGGTAGTTTCAAACAGTTGACTTGAGGCTTGCAGTCTAATGCATAACCACCACGCCACCAGGGCTCATCCTCTAGATAAGGGTGGAAGAAAAAAACCTGAACCCCCTACCATGGAGTGGATTCGATTCATGGCAACTCAGTGCAGTGTGGGGTTTCCTAGACTCCAGATCTTTATTGGGAGCCCTGTCTTCCACTTGCAGAGCAGCTGGCGGCTTTGAGCTGACCTTGTAGTTAGCATTCCAGTGCCCACAGTGCCACCAGAGCTCCTTGACGTGCACATTGGATATATCTCATGAGGTTACCACTTAGAATTAGGAAGAGAATAAACATTGTTTTTAAACAGAGGTGTGTTTTGAGACATTTTTTATAGTATGAACTAGCATATTAATTTCCTGATTACTTTTTATAGTTGTAGATATGTGCGATTTTTACAATTATAAAATTCCAAGTTGGTTTTACTCATGACTTTTTAGTCTAGCAGCAGTGGGGAATTTTTTTTTCCTGCCAAGGGCCATTGGGTATTTCTAATATCATTTGGAGGCCATACTGGTCAAACATTGAATTAACTCGTCCCTAATGTGTGGCTGGAATTTCTTCTCTTTAGTATTGATGATTTAGAGGCTCAAGTACTGGATGTTCCCATCCAAGGGTATAAGATCTTTTTGCAACATGGGCACCGTTACAGTGAGTCCAGTGCCCTAATGGATCCTGTAGACATTAAGCACCACAACCCGAGAACAGGAGAACTAGAATTGTGTCTGCTTATCAAAACCAACTACTCTGAAAAGGGTCACATTAGGAGAGTCCTGGGTAGAGTGGAAGAAAAATGTACAACCAACCCAGAATCAAAAGTGACCAGGCTCACAGGTTGGGTACAGCATAGTGGGGCCACCCAAGACATGACCCTTATATCCTTCCGGCCTGGAACTGAACTCAATGTCTCTCTTAGAATAACCAACCTTTTAAGATCAAAAGGGCAACATTTAATTTACCCTTGGACCAAGTTCAGAGGGTTAGGAAAGAGGAGGAATGGGAACAGGAAACAGGGAGGAAGTGGAATAAGCAGTGAGTGGTCAATTGAGGGGATTACAATGGATGGGTTGAATCAGAATGTGCATTGTTGAAGGTAAAACTAGGGTCTGTTCTGTAAACTGTCATCTAATTAACAATTTAATAAGAAAGATAATAGTGCGAAAGAAAATAAAGACGAGAAGAGGAAATTTGCAGCCTTGGTCAGCAATAATGCCTTCCTGCTCAAGGAAAAGTAAATTAAAAAACAATCTTTTTCACCGCTCTGTATTCTAATTATCCACCAAAGTCCACACTAAAAATCGTCCCTCACCCCCTACCTCACCTTTCCCCGCCGTCCTCAGTCAGTCCCAAAGCCCCACCGAGGGCTGGGTCATAGGTCATGTCTCCTTATCTGCCTTTTGGTTGTGACAGGGTCTATCCTCGTTTTGATGACCAGGACCATTTTGAGGAGTGCTGGTCCAGGTGTTTTATAGAATGCTCCCCAACAGGGTAAGAGGTTCCATATTCATGAATTGGAAGACAATATTGTTAAGATGCAGAATCTCTAGATTCAATGCAATTGAGGTCAAAGTTTCAGTGAGCTATTTGTAATGGTCAACAACCCGATTTCCAAGGATATAGGACTTAAATAGCAGCACAAGACTGAAGAACTAAACAATCCGAAGACTCCTATCTTGTTTCAAGATTTACTGTATGTGTACATTAATCAAGACAGCATAAAGGGGGGAAAGAATTGACAAATGGATCATTCTAGAGAGCCCAGAAACTAACCACACAAATATGGTCAACTAGTCTTTAACAAAGGAGCAAAGGCAATTCAGTTGTTTTCGTGCCACAAGGTTTATAGCATGAGCTAGCAGAAAACTAATCAGTCAGCTCAGTGTGACTGTGAAGTCAGACCTGAGCTTTTTCTAGGTTAATGGGCATTTTTTTTCTTGTGACCTAAATGTTTGGTATTTTTATATCATTTAGAAAGATAGGGTCGACACCGGCCAGTCATGAGGTCGAGTGTAGCCTGTGGATCATGTTTGTAATACAGAGGCTGGTGCCTGGGGTCATTATGAAGGCATCGCTTAATAAGCTCCAGTCAGTGAGACCTAAAAAGAAGGTGGTCATGAGTTTACAGGCTAAAGTAGCCGTTTTAAAAAAGGGAGAGTTTTGAATTTTGTGAATTATGTTAACTGATTTTAATTCCCTTGAATCACTTTTCAGAGTTTCTTGAAGTTGGCAAAAAGCAACCTGCTTTGGATGTTCTTTATGATGTTATGAAAAGTAAAAAACATCGAACATGGCAAAAGATACACGAGCCTATTATGTTGAAATACTTGGAGCTTTGTGTGGATCTTCGCAAGAGCCACCTGGCTAAGGAAGGATTATATCAGTATAAAAATATTTGTCAACAGGTAAGATGAAATTTGGGTTTTACCTTTTTTTTTTTTTTTTTTTTTCATTTTCACAAGCTTCCCAGGTGATTCTTACATTCACCTTGGGGATCCTTTTTTTTTTTTTTTTCTTAACATTTTATTAGGGGCTCATACAACTGTTATCCCAATCCATACACACATCAATTGTGTAAAGCGCATTTGTACATTGTTTCTCAAAACATTTTCTCTCCATTTAAACCCCCGACATTAGGTCCTCATTTTTCCCCTCCCTCCCCGGGGTTTTACCTTTTTAATAGGTGTTTAAAGTAATTTTTCAGCCGTTTACCCTTCAAATCAATCTCATACTTCATACAGCCTGATTTTTTTTTAAAGCATTTTGTTACTGCCTAGAAAAATATTTTTGATTAATTTTTGTTTGTTTGATTAGGTAAACATCAAATCTCTAGAGGATGTTGTTAGAGCGTATTTGAAATTGGCAGAAGAAAAAACTGAAGCTGCAAAAGAAGAATCCCAGCAGATGGTTTTAGATATAGAAGATTTGGATAATATTCAAACACCTGAGAGGTATCGAGGATAAGCTTCTGATAGCTTTTTTTTAACGGTTTGAACAGAAAGATAAGTTTATTGAAGGAGGATACTTTGGAGAAGTCCAAAGGGCTTTTAGCTAGTATAAAAAGCCTCCAATAGTTATTTAATGCTTCATTCAGTGAGTTTCAGTGTATGTGTCTCCGTCACCTCTATTTGAAGTAGCTGTTTATTAGACAGATTGATTATCTCTGGATTTTAAATGTATAGTAACCCAGGAAGTCACATAAACGCTACTTAAAATCTATAAAAGTGGTAGGGTATGTATATATAGCCATTCAAACCATTCTAATGCAGAATGGGAAATCCGAGTATTGAGATAATGACAGCTTTACAGTACACACAAAGGTGTAGGTGTGTAGGAACAGTGTGCACCAGTTATGGCCATCACCCTTCTTGACTGTGTTTTTCAATCAGATGGTAAAGTCAGACATGATGTCTAGAAGTGGTCTCCAGTGTCTGCATGTGTGTCTTCACAGTGTTCTCCTGAGTGCTGTTAGTGGGGAAGACACGCAGGACCGGACGGACAGACTCCTTTTGACGCCTTGGGTTAAGTTCCTGTGGGAGTCATACCGGCAATGTCTGGACCTCCTGCGGAACAATTCTAGAGTGGAGCGCCTCTACCATGACATTGCCCAGCAAGGTAAACCAGGAGCTTAGAAAGTTGATTTGAACAAAATTTGGTAGAGCAGTTAGTAAAATTAAGTACTGTATATACTCACGTAGAAGCCAAGTGTTTCAGCAATTTTTATGCAGTTTTTGTGGTAAAATTAAAGTGCCTCGGGTGATATTCAGGTTGGCTTATACTCGAGTATACTATACGGTAAGACCTTTTCTCCATAGTACTTGAAAAATGAACTAGTTAAAAAAATGGACTAGTTTTACTTTTGTTGATTTGTTTTAGTTTAACTAGTCAATTCTTTTAATGAGTAAACCATTTTCTTAAGTAATTTTTTAGTCATTTACAAGTAAAAATTTTATCATAAATAATGTAAATCTTTTTAAAAATGATGAAAATTAAAAACCCACTGTCATTGAGTTGATGCCATCTCATAACGACTTTATAGGACAGGGTAGAACTGACCCTGCGGGCTTCCAAGACTGTAACTCTTTATGGGAGTAGAAAGCCCTGCCTTTCACCTGTAGAGCAGCTGGTGGTTTTGAACTTAAAGGCCCAGAACCTCATGGGTAGTTCCACCTTGTCCTCTAGGGTCACTGTGTGTTGGAAATGACTCTATGGAAGTGACTTTATTTTTTAAATGTAAATACCACATATACTTGAGTGTGTAAGCTGACCCGATTATCAGTCAAGGCACCTAATTTTACCACAAAAATGTCATTAAGAATGTGCTGAAAAACTTGGCTTAAACTCAAGTATATACGGTATGTGAGAGGCCTTTAGAAAGTTTTGGGGAAAATTTACTTTTTAGTAAAATATTTCCACAAACTTTAAAAATATCCCTTAAGTGTAAATACTATAAACGACTAAAAAAATGTACTCCAGTATTGTTGGAAGTACTTTACAAACTCCTGAGGGTTTTCCAAGTGGCAGGAAAAGTGAAATTTTATCCTTCTGTTTCCTTTTTTGTTGATCTTAACTTATCCAAGGGGCTTTAGAAAGTTTGTGGCAAAATGCCATGAACTTTTATTTCCATTTTTTCCCTTGAAAAATGTGTAGTCTCTTTGTTCTCTTCTGTTATTATAACCTTGGGCCTGCTACTTGCGGGTGCATTGTCTCTAAGGTCTCTCCATGCTCTGGGCTTGGTGGTGTGCCTACTGTAATAGGGTGGTTGAATGCAGAATTAATGGGTTTTGATGACTTGGGGCCATCATCATAAACATCCAGTTATGACATTCCTCCAGCACCTTGAAAGTGTGGTTCTAACGTTGTCTCTTTCTTTCCTTTGCTGTCACATGATAATCCTTTCCTGTTGTCACTGCAGCTTTTTAACCTTAACACTGGGAAACTCTTTGAGAGAGGTTCTCAGCTTTTTCTCTTTTGGCCTTAGCATGAGCTGGTGTGGCTAGTTTCTATACTAGGGAGGCATGATTGGCATCAAGCCATTTAAAATTTAAATGACTTTTTGTGACTAAGAACGTTTTACTAGAAATAGTAGAACCTGTTTTGTTTTGCGTAGGCGACTAGTAGTAATTTTTTCATTTAGCACAGTTAAGTGTGGTTTTAAAAAAATTAACTATTGATACATTAACCTGGAGTTAAATCCCACCTTTGTCTTTTAAGCCTGTTGAATAAATGTATCTCTTCTTTAACGGAAAAGAGCAAAGGAGAAACTAGTATGACACATTGATGGCATTGGAAGATGGTCGTCATTGGCTGCTGTAATGTGTGCATAGTTTTCATCTATGTCTGGTAGCAGTATCTGTTTGTGTTTTACATTCAGATCTCGCTGTCCACACAAATACTCTGCAGCCTTAGAGTAACTTGGGATCATAGTACTGGTCTAGTGTTGTCTCTTTGGACACATTCGCCACTGGCCAGCCTCCAAACTCCCATACATACATACATTAAAAAAAAAATGATAGTGAATTTTAAAGAATGAGCAAGTCGTTTATATGTGTTACAGACCCAACTGTGGGGATGGGGGATAGGGCAAGGGTTCTCTTGTACATAGGGTTGCTATGAGTTGAAACTGACTGTAGCACCTGACAGCAACAATAGTGTTGAAGTTAGGTCACCATAAGTGTTCAGTCTATATTACGCAGCAGCTTTAATTAGTACAAAACAGGAGTTTGAAGTGATTCTTCCCAGTTCTAGCATGACTAGGGTGACCAGACGTCCCACTTTTGGCGGGACAGCCCTGATTTTTAACAATTTTTCCCGCAGCCTGTGGCATTTTAAAAAAGTCCCAATTTTTGGAAAGAATGCACAACAAGCTAGGGTATACGGTTTTCGGCTGCCATGTGGCTATTTCGCCAGGATATGAGTTTTATCAATGGTGTCCCGCTTTACCAATGTTAAAATCTGGTCACCTTAAGCATGACCAGAAAAACCAATCTTGAGCCAGCACCATACTAGTAAACAAGGCAGTGTGTGTTGCTTGGCAACCAAATTTCTTGACTGACAAAGTAGGAAAAAAAGTGGCCGATCAAAGATGACAGCTGATCACGCTGCTGTGAATAATGTATCAGTCCCTGTGGTTGTGGCAATTATTCAGTCTCCCACAACAGGCTCATGGATGAGCTCAGTGCACAATCTGAGTCTCCTGTTCCAGGCTTCTAACATTTAACTTTCTGGTTTATTCATCCCAGCTTACCTACGTTTTATAAATTCGACTCCATACTTCAATGGCCAGGGCTGAACTGGCTTTAGCCTGTTTGAGATCCTGATACAAAATGTGTCACTGTAGATGAGACAAGAATTTTGTACTTGGATTGTAATAAGAGTTGTAAGAACCCCCAATAAAATAATCTTAATAATAAAAAAAAGTTGAAATAATTAGGTCTCTTAAAGGTGAATCTTGAAACCTAAATTCTCATAGTTTTCCCACTTGCAAACCCTCCAAGTTTAGTCCTAGGCCAGCTCTGACAGCCACTTACTTCCTCCTTTGGTCAGAATGCAGTAAAAAAGTCAGGGCACTTGAAGCGAGGAGCTGTAAGCACTTCTAAAGACTGGTGATGACTTTGGTGGATGATGTGAAGGTACCTGATCTTGATACATAAAGCTTTTTAAGTATGTTGAGTTTGATGATGGAAAGGATATAATATATTTTACAATTATGCTTGTAGCTTTCAAATTCTGCCTCCAATACACTCGTAAGGCTGAGTTCCGTAAGCTGTGTGACAATTTGAGAATGCACTTGTCTCAGATTCAGCGCCACCATAACCAGAGTACGGCAATCAATCTTAATAATCCAGAGAGCCAGTCCATGCACCTGGAAACGCGGCTTGTTCAGTTGGACAGTGCCATCAGCATGGAGTTATGGCAGGTATGCTGGGGTCTCCGATTTGTTCTTCTTTGTAGTTAGAGAATCTGCGTGTATCTCTCTCACTCCGCGAGATCAATGAGAAATGGCATATTGGGTAATAAAAGTAGAGAATCTCAGGCTATTACGGTTTTGTGTAGCCTCTTTTGGACCCAGTGTTTGCCTGGATAAAACAGTACACTTTGAGGATCACTGCAAGTTGCTCCATGGACGGACAGGTCCTGCACTGGCCACTGTTGGCTCCTAATCCCTAATACGGACAAGTGTGAATGGGCACCCAACGTATTTCTTTGTGATTTGATGTCAGCTTACTCTTTAGCATAAAAGAAATGAGTGTGCCTTCCCCCCAATTTTGGGGAAATTTTTTTGCGTTTTATTGAAAGCATCGATTGACTTCACATCGGAAAAGAAGTCCGTCCTTTGCGACAGTTAGTAGTGGTTTAGATGGCCTGGATCATGTCACATTGCTCTGGCTGATTGGATTGGAGCACTCTGTTGGGTCTCCCACCCTCAACCTGGGTTCCCCCAGTAGACCCCCCCTGTGCTGTCACAGAACTCAGCCAAGCAACGTGAAGCTTGTATCTATTTTGACACCCCCAAATCTGTTTAAAGTTAGCAGAGGATGAAGAAACTTAACAGTGAAAAGCGTGATTTGATTTCATCTCTCACCCCCACCCCCTGCCCCCCACCCAATGATTCCTTCTGTGTGGGGACACCTATCTTAAAGTACAACCTGATGAAGTAAAGAAGAAAAAGCTCGTAGAAAAGACAAGTTCATCTGCTCCTATAGGGAGAGCACGGATGAGTTACAAAGAGCATTTTTCCAATCCTGCAGAATTCCACACGAAGCATTTTATTTGCTGCTTTTCATTTTCAAGACAGCTTTATGTTTAGTTTTTTTGGCAGAGATTTGGATGAGATTCTTTATTGGCACAATGATGAGCATATTTACTCTGATTTTAGGAAGCATTTAAAGCCGTGGAAGACATACATGGACTGTTCTCCTTGTCTAAGAAGCCACCCAAGCCGCAGCTGATGGCCAATTACTATAACAAAGTTTCCACTGTGTTTTGGAAATCTGGAAACGCTCTGTTTCATGCATCCACGCTCCATCGTCTTTATCACTTGTCTAGAGAAATGAGAAAGAATCTTACCCAAGATGAGATGCAGAGGTAAGATTGTCACCCATTAGGGCTAAAATGAGCCTACAAACACCTTCTGCCAAGTGCTATGGCACATGGGGCTCTAGGGCAGGGTTTCTCTGGGGCAGCCTCATGGACAACTAGTGTCAGCTCCTGCCCTGTGGAGGGCTGTCTTCTGCAGGGGAGGGTTTTTCACTGTATCTCTGGCTGCTCCCCACTAAGTGCCAGGAGCAGCCCCTTGGATTGGGTCACTAAAATGTCCTCATGTACCACTCTTTGGATGTCAGTGCCGCTTTTCAGTAGCTGTCTGGTAATCACCACCACCATGAACCTTTTGCAGCTTCCTCACATATATACAGATGTAGGAGGATGATCTATAATACATTTAACCTAAATCCTTTTTTTCTTTTTAACATGTAACCTCGTTTCATTCACTCATGTTTGTATTTGTGTACATTTCCGTTGATTTCACGCAATTTTTTAAGGCTTGACAGCAATGCATGGGACCCTAAGTTCTGATAGTATCTGATATTCATGAGGACTGTGTCCTTCCCGGTCCCTTATGTAATTCTTGAGTTAATTCTCTTCAAAGACTGAAGCATACTCCTTCCACGGAGTATTATAGTAAGAAGTGGTAAGCTCTTTAGCTCTGTGCACATTGTTTTGGTTATTCATAGTTGCCTTATGTCTCTAGACAAAGGATCTTAACCAAGGTCCCAATCTAAAGAGATGAGGAGGCTGCAGGCTACATTCCTGAGCTCCAGGGCCACAGACTTGGGTTCCCCGTGCTCTGAATCCACCCTTCCTGTCTGTCATACTTGTGTTCATGTATGCTTCTTAGGAATTTCCTCTTACTGCCATTTCTCCTTGTTTTTTGAGCTTTCATAAATTTTTCTGAGGCAGCACCATGGGACATTTGAATATGCCTTCACTCCCTATTTACTGAAAAATCGGCAAAACAAGTCGGGGTTTTCCAAGTATTCCCTGTAGCCTGCTCCATTTCCTCTCAGTTCCTTCCTCTATGGTAGCCTCACACTTACCGATGGTCTTAGTTGACTGTGGCAATGTGTGTGGTCCTGTCAATGGCAGCTCTTAGCTGGTGATGAAAGAGTTGCTTTTCTGCCTGTCAGGTGCACCACTTTCACACATGCAACTTGCTTCTCCACAGGATGTCTACTAGAGTTCTTTTGGCCACACTCTCCATCCCTATCACCCCAGAGCGCACGGATATAGCTCGTCTCCTGGATATGGATGGCATTATAGTGGAAAAACAACGCCGCCTGGCAACGCTTCTGGGCCTTCAGGCCCCACCGACACGAATTGGCCTTATTAATGATATGGTTGGTATCAATTTGAGTATCTCTATAGTTTCGGGCAGAAAACATGTCAGGTTAAATAATTTATGGTTAAAGACTAGAAATTCTGACTTCACAGAATTTTAGGTGCACAGGCAGGTTGGGAACCTTGGTATGAACCAGTACTAGTACTAGTGTTTGGGAGAAAGATAAGGCTTTTTATCCTCCTAAGAGTTACAGTCTTGGAACTCTTGTACAGGGGTTGGTTCTGGCCTGTCTTCTGGTTGCTGTGAGTAGGAATTGACTCAATGGCAGTGAGTGGACACTAGCCCTCAGAGAATGCACTTCTTTTCTGGTAGGTGAGTGAGAGGTCAGTTCCTAGGGCTTTAACGATATAGAGAGACCACCATTGTGCCCCTGCAGAAGAGTACTGACCAGCCTGACAGAATGGTGGGCAAGAAGGTCCTTAGCTCCTGGTGTGAAAATAGATTGAGTTGAATTGTGTGTGCAATGAAGTGCAGAAAGGAGACGTGGGGGAGAGAGGTGGCCTGGATAGTAAACATACTGAATGTTCTTGCTTCAGTTGCAATTTGTTATTATGGCTGTGGTTCTTAAGCCTTAGCTGTCTATCTCTGCAGTGTTCATATTGATGGAATCTTTAAATTGGCAGGCATGTATCGGTTGCTTATCGGCAAGATACATACTGAAAGTAGAGTTTTATGTTTTAACAAACTTCTAGGGGGGAGTTTAGACATTTTGATTCACAGTAACCTGTCCTCATGGTTACTAGAAGAGTATTATTCTCCAGCAGAAGAGAACAAAAGGATAAAAGGAGCAAGTTTAGAAGGGTGCTAAGGACAAGGCAGCTTGGTTTAATGCTTAGAAATAGGACAACAGAAAAGTGGGTGAAGGGAGACATCGGGCAGTATAAGATATGATAAAATAATATTTTATAAATTATCTAGGGCTCAGGAGAGGGTGGAGCGGGGAGGGAGGGGAATAAATGAGCTGATTCCAGAGACTCAAGTGGAAAGCACATGTTTTGAGAATGATGAGGGCAACAAATATACAAATGTGCTCGACACCATGGATTGCGATGAGTTGTACGAGCCCCTAATAAAATGATTTAAATAAAACAAAACAAAACAACAAAGAAATACGACATATAAATGTGAACAGTGACCAGGGCAGTGAGAAGGGCCAGAAACACTGCTCTCCTCGAGGGTTGTCAGAGGCAGCTGGGGGGCCAGCCCTCTGGCAAATGTGAGGGCAGCAGCAGACTTCATGGGGAGAGCTGTCAGTTCAGGTCAGAACAGTATGTCTTGGCTATGCAGGTAGTCTCTGACAGAACAGCTGCTTTGAGTTACATGACTGATGCCACTTGATGACCATCCTGTTTTTGCTGCTGTTTTTAGTAAAATGTGATGCCGAAAAGACTTATAAAGGGACTGAATATCCAAGGCCATACATGACAATGGAAATTTGGAAAAAGAACGTTGGACTAGGACTGGGTCTTGGGGATAGAATCCCTCATAAGGGCTGCTTGTTGTCTTTGCCCCTTAGTTTGCTTTCCCCTCTTGTCATAAGGCTCCCACCACAGTTAACTTTGAAAGACTTACTTCCTAAATCCACTTTACTTGATTGTCTGTTCTACAGCTCCTGCCTACAAAGTTCAACTTTGTGTATATTTAGAAAAGTATTTTAAGGAGTGGACTTGAAGATAAGTATGACAGAAAGGCCAGGGCAATGTCTTTGGGAAGAAGTTTTATTAGCAAAGTTTTTAAAGGCTGGTGAAAAATGCCCTGCTCTGGAGCCTCTGTGTACGTGCCTCATGCCTGGGGGTCTCAATTTGTTCTGTTCTGAGACTGGTTTGGGGATGAGTGTTGGACCTACCGTCAGTGAAGTTACGTTTGGATTCCTTCCCATTCTGCCCATAGAAAATGTGGGTGTTTAAAAGGTACAGGTTGGTGTGGTCAGCTGGTTTCCAAGTGTTGCTTCTGCTTCTGTCTTGGCAAGTTCACTGTGTTTAAGAGTACAGAGTGAGGCCCATCGCAGGAGCAATCCACATAGAGCCTTCCAGCCTCGTTCCCTGTCTAGTGAGAGAGCTGCAAGGAGACTCCGTCAATGGTTTGTTTGGTGGTAATGAACTTAGAGTGCATTTTATGAGTGCTTAGGATATCAGCCACACACCCAATTTTCATTGCAATGCAAGGTAGACCAGAGCCGCCCAAGTGCGAGGTCATCTTTCTCTGTGGGTAGGGCTCTGGCAGAGCGTGCTGCAGTCTGACCCAGCCCGGGAGGATGCTTGCAGTCCTGCAGTCAGGTCTTGTACTGACCCAGTAGCAGCTCTGTACTTGGGCCCCAGTTCCTGCCACATGAAGGGTAGGACTGTGTGGACTACTGGGAAGCACAGAAAAAAAAAATATAAAAGGATTTGGTTATGACAAGTTTTTGGTTTACGTGAAATGATTCTGTTTGTCTCCTTTGTTAGAAACGTTATGTAAGTCTATTCTTGTGGAAGGACTTGAGTTTTAGTCAATGTAAATTTTAAAACGTCACTAAGTTATAAAAAACCTATAGTTGGGGGTAGAGTCTCGTTTCCTGTCACTCCTCCCTAATACTCCAGCAAATAGCCTCTATTCTAACTATCCGCTGTAGATTAGTTTGGTCTGTTTGTGCATCATAATAGAACATGTAAAATGACATCACAGGTGAACTTTTTGCTCGCCATTAAACCCAACCCACAGATAATGAATGAGTCCATTCTGACTTAACAGTAACCCCATATAGGGCCCTATATAGGGTCTCTGAGGCTTTGTAAATCTTTTAAGGGATAGCTAGCATCTTTCTCCTGCAGAGCTGCTGGTGGGTTAGAATCACTGACCGCGTGGTTAGTAGGCCAGTGCTTACCCAACCATTGTGGATATGCAATTTACCCTCATATGTTTTATGTAATTGTTCTTTGACATCATTGTATATTCTATAACTGTCCCAGTGTTCATCCTATTGATTGTTTAGATTTTGGATTTCCAGTTTGGGGCAGTTATAAGTAAGCGCTTCAATTACACATACACGCAGTAATTAATTAGCAAAATCTGATAGATTATTTGTTAATTGGTAAACTAGTTTACATAGGCCACAGTACATTTTGGCAAGTGGTGTTTTGATTTAAAATTTCTATTTTATTTTATTTATTTTTTAAACATTTTATTAGGGGCTCATACAACTGTTATCGCAATCCATACACACATCAATTGTGTAAAACGCATTTGTACATCATTCTCAAAAC